ATATTTATTTTCATAAAAATTAAAATAAAAAATATGTGTTTAGAATTTTGGTAAGTATAATTTTTTTTATGAAGTATTTTGATATATCACCAACAAAGAGTATGTTGCTAAAAATGTGGGTGGAAGTATAAAAATAAATATCAGCAACATGGTTTTTCTTGGTAAAAGTTGAAAATCAACAACATAACTTTGCTTGCTGAAAATTAGGTGGAATTCCGGTACCGGTTTCCAGCCATATTTCTCTCAATTTTTAGCAACATGAGCCACGTTGCTGAAACCCTATCTTCAGCAACGTGGCTTATGTTGCTGAAAAGGATGAGAAAATTCACCCCCACCCTCACCGGATTCCGGTGAATATTTACAGCAATATAAGCTATGTTGCTGATACTATATTTTCAGCAACATAGCTTATGTTGCTGATGTTTCAGCAACAAGATTTTGGTTGGTGATGTATTACCCACCAAGCTTTCTCCAACAAAGCTTTTAGCAACCAAACCCATGTTGCTGAAGCACTTTCAGCAACATGGGAACCACTTTCAGCAACATGCTTCCATGTTGCTGAAGCTAAGGATTTTAGTAGTGATTAAAGAATTAGAAGACCCAGTTGAGTTATCATCAAGGCCATGGCTTCACACCACTTCAAACCTCAATATCAGCAGCAGACATTACTGGAGACAATTTCGAAAGAAACGACCTCCCTGTACCAACAAAAATAGGTGACAATAATAAGACACCAGTGAAGCACCTGACTAATGCACCAAGAAAAGAGTTCTTACTTGCGATGCAAATGTGATGTCGGATCCATCTACTTTTAACGTTGCGCTTTTAAAAGAAAAGAGTTCTTTAATCCTTTTCTTTGATAGTTCTTGCATCCAAAATTAAATTAGGTGGCATATGGTAAGTTGTGTCACATAATATTGTCAAAAATATCTTTTAAAAAAAATAAAAAGCAAAAATGTCTATTGAAAATCAAAATTCAATGCTTGAGATACTTCCATCACCATTAAAAGCACAATGACAAAAACATCAAGATTTGTTCTTAGTTATTAATTTGTTCTTAATTAATAATTTGTTCTTAATTAATAATTTGTTCTTAATTAATAAAAATCAATCCTGATCCAATTTCTTCTTGTATTTATTTAGACATATTTTGAATTTGCTTTTTGAACTTTAATATTAAATAGGGCTATATTTTTTATATAATGATCTTCTAACTATTGAATAGAACTATATTTTTTTTTGTATAATATCATTATAAATATTGAATAAACACTAGATATTAATATATATATTGGATTTGTCTTTTAAACTGTAATCATTCATGTCTTTTCTTTTAATGAAGATGAAGATTAATGCCTTTATGAAATTATGAATTCTAAATATTGTATAGGCATTAAATATTTGACATATGTTTTAGTTCCACCTATATAAGTAGTAATATTTTCATTTTCTTTTGATATTGGAATGAAAATTGAATCATAAAATGAAAATTAGTGTTTAATAAAGTTTTCTAACTAAATAGTTAATTAGTATTAGATTTTGTTACAAAATAGATAAAAATATAGAAAAATTTTATTTTTAATTTTATTTTTTAAAAAATTGGGTCCACTCGACCTAATTCGAGATCCGTGTAGGTGGATCATGGATTTACCCCTTTAACCCGACACTTGAAATAACCAAATCTGAAAAACCCGAAATTTAAGATGACCCAATCCGAACCCACCTAATCCAACCTGTTTGGCAAGTCAAAGTGTTGAAGGCAAATCATTTTAAGGACATTAAGACCCAAACTTCTTTTTACACCATTGTGGAGTTAATGTAGATAATTTCTCAATTTTTTAATATAAAAAGACTTTTGAAAATGATAATTAAAAAAGAAGAAGTAAATCTCTTGTTTTGTAATTCAAATCACTTTAAACTGTAGAATAAGAACTATTGAATTGAA